TACGAGTCTTGCCTTGTTTCTCACAATGGTTCCTTGTTCATCCTTTTTGTTTTTGAAAACCCATTTTGTGCCAATGACAGACTTATCCTTAGGTCTTGGAACCAATTGTCAAACTTCATTTCTTTCAAATTGGTTGAGTTCTTCTTGCATTGCTAGGAGCCAAGACTCATCATTTTCAGCTTCTTGAATATTTTTTGGTTCAAAATGTGAAACAAAAGCAACATAATTGCATATATTGCTTATTTGAGATCGAGTCCTTACACCTTTGGATGGATCGCCAATGATTTGATTAATTGGATGATGAGTCACTTGCTTCCAAGATATAGGAGGTGTTTCCACATGAGAGTGACTTTCTTTTGAATTGACTTTGGAGAGATCATTTCGAGATGAATCATTTAAGTTAGGATTTTCAAGATTCTTTTCAATTTCAACCACATCCTCATTTTCATCCATAAAACATCTAAGAGGGGGAAGAGGTGATTCATCAAATACAACATGTATAGATTCAGCAACCACAAGTGTTCTTTTGTTAAATACTCTAAATGTTTTGCTACGAGATGAATACCCTAAGAAGATCCCTTCATCCGATTTAGGTTCAAATTTCCCTACGTTGTCTTTGTCGTTTAATACAAAGCATCTACACCTAAAAACCTTAAAATAACCAATGTTTGGCTTCTTTTTGTTCCAAAGTTCGTAAGGGGTTTTGTTGAGAAGTTTCCTAATAATGACTCTATTTATGACATAGCATGAGGTACTAACGGCTTCGGCCTATAGAGTTCTAGGAGATTTATGTTCATTTAACATGGTCCTAGCCATTTCTTGTAGAGACCTATTTTTCCTTTCAACAACTCCGTTTTGTTGGGGAGATCTAGGAGCCGAAAGATTATGATGATACCCATTATTATCACAAAAACTTTCAACATCTTGGTTTTCAAACTCTCTTCCTCTATCACTCCTAATAGCCTTAATCTTACACTCTTGTTCGTTCTCAACTCTTTTGCAAAATTTAGCAAAAATTGAATGAGTTTCATTTTTGCGTGCAAGGAAAAACACCTAAGTGAATCTAGAGTAATCATCAACAATGACAAATGCATAGAGTTTTCCACCAAGACTAGCAATTCTCTCCGGACCAAATAGATCCATATGAATCAACTCGAGTAGTCTTGAAGTAGTTAAGTCCTTTTTCCTTTTAAATGATGATTTAATTTGCTTCCCTATTTGGCATGCACTACAAATTTTATCCTTCAAATAATTAGTCTTTGGGAGGCCTTTGACTAATTCATTTTTAGATAATTTTGAAATTAAATCCATGCTAGCATGACCCAACCTTCTATGCCATAACCAACTATTTTCATTTGAAGAAACAAAGTACTTAACATCTTGATTATGTAATTCATACAAAAGCAAAGTATATACATTACCATTTCTAAGAGCATGAAATACTTCATCATTATTCCTTTTAACAATGCATTTATCCGATTGAAACAGCACATCATATCCTTTATCACATAGTTGGCTAATACTAAACAAATTATGTTTTAAGCCTTTGACAAGTAAGACATCATCAATAGATAATGAAGAGGATATACCGATAGATCCGATCCCGATAACCTTGCCTTTTGAATTATCTTCAAATGTAACGCTTCCTCATTTGTGAGGCTTGATAGAGAGAAATTTTGATCAATCTCCAGTCATGTGTCTTGAGCAATCACTATCAAGGAACCATTTGTCCTTGGATGAGTATGGAGACTTCAAGCAAACCTATAAAAGGAATTTGAGTAATCTTCTTTTGGTACCCACAATTTCTTGGGTCTATGAAAGTTAGGAAGAAGCTTATATGTACCTTTAATAACCCAAGTTTCTTTTGTCATACATGGCCTAATAGACAATGGTTGATCTTATGTCCTAACTTCTTACAATAGTTACATTTTGGACTAAAAGAAGAATTTTTAACAAAGTAATTGTTCAAAGGTTTTCTCTTTTTCAATAAACAAGAATTTTTGTTGTGAGGATCAAAGCCAAGCCCATCTTTAGCATAAGCATTTCTTTGTTTTCCAAGTAAGAGGTTCAAATTTTCTCTACCTTTTGTGAACTTAGCTAAGATTTCAACTTGATCCTCAATAATGACTTTCAATGATTCATTTTCAGCAATTAACTCAATTGAGGCCTTTTCTTGAGCAAGTTCTTTTTCCTTTTTCAAAGTTTCATTTTCAAGTTGAGATTTTTCAAAGTTTTGAGAAATGATGAGTTTTTCTCTTCTAAGGCTAGCACATTTTTGAACCATTTTACCTAGTTCATCATGTAATTCTTTTAAAGCATCTAGCAAATAGTTGTGTGCATCAACCAATTCATCATAAGTAGTTTCTTAGTCAAATGAGTTATGATTAGAGTTTACCTTATCTTCATCGGCCATGAGACAAAGATTGACCAATTTGTTGAAGTCATCGTCACTTTCGGATCCATTTGAATCATCATCCTCCCATGTAGCTCTCATGGCTTTGCCTTTCTTTTTCCTTTCCTTCTCATTTTTGTAGACGTAGCAATCGGATTTGAAATGCCCCGGTTTTCCACAATGAAAGCATGTAGGAGCTTCTCTTTTTCCTTATTCACTAGATGAACCACTTCTTTTAAAATTGTTACTCTTTTGAAACTTCTTCATTTGAAGGACTCTTCTCACAGTTTTGGTAATAAGGGCAATTTCTTCTTCTTCTTCATTTGGAGCCTTATCAATTGTGACTTCTTTGGTAGAAGATTGAAGAGCAATATCCTTCTTTTGAGTCTCCTTCTCTTCATCTTTATCATTCATTTCAAGTTCATATGCCATCAATGAACCAATGAGTTCATCTATGGGAAGAGTGTTGAGATTCTTGGCCTCTTGGATGGCGGTCTTCTTTGCTTCCCAATTCTTAAGCAATGACCTAAGAATTTTTCTCACATTCTCGGATGATGTGTATGACTTTCCGAGAGCCTTCAAAGGATTCACAATGTTAGTAAAACGAGAGTACATTTCACTAATAGTTTATTTGCCATTCATGGTAAAAAGGTCATATTTATGTACAAGCATATTCATTTTGGATTCCTTAACATGACTAGTACCTACATAGGTAACTTCAAGTTTATCCCAAATTTCTTTAGCCGTTTCGCAATCCGAAATTCTATTGAATTCGTCTTTGTTTAAGGCACAATAAAGATTTGTAATGGCTTTGACATTGCATTGTACAAGTTTACGATCACTAAGGGTCCATTCAATATCAGGTGTTGGAACATTTTCACCATTTACTACTTTGGTTAGAACATGGTCTCCTTGTTCGGTGGCTTTCCAAACATCTATGTCTATGCCTCTTAGGAATGCTTTCATTTTGATTTTCCAATAATTGTAGTCACTTCCATCAAACCATGGAGGTCTATTGTTAGATTGACCTTCTTGGTGAAACATTGTATTTGCCATGATCTTTCTCTAAGATGGTTAAATCTTTTTCTAGAGATTAGGTTCTGATACCAATTGTTAATCAATGATTGACTCTAGAGGGGGGGTGAATAGAGTCAATGGCCAATGTTTTATAATTTTAAAAAATTTGTTTCCAACTAAATAGCATGTAATACACAAAAAATATTCTAGCAATATAATCACAATTAAAGAGTATAGAGATAGCGAATTGCAAACAGTGACTCGGCAATTTAGCGAGGTTCGGAAGCTCCTGCTCCTCGGCTCAAGGTCCTCCCTTGAGACTTTCCAAATCACTAAAGCTCCTCCTTAATGTTGGAGAGCAAACCTTCAACTTGAAGCAAGACTTTGCTTCTTTCCTTGCTAGGAGAACACCCTTCTCCTTAGCTTTGCTTTTAGGTCACACCAACCCTTACAAGAATGTAGAGATATATGAAGATTACAATATAGTTTCTTTCTCTCTCTCTCTCTCTAGAGAATATTACAAGAATTAGTCTCACACTAGAGTAGAAGAAGAAATAAATGAAGCTCTGGTCTTTTAAACTGATACAAGAGAAGGAATAAGAAGTCAATGCTCAGATCAGAATTTCAGATAGCTCTTGAATGCACTTGGATAATGTTCTTTGATGATCTCTAAAAGAAGGACATTTGTTTGTAGACCATCTATCTGTATTTGAAGAGATTTCGAATTCAATAGAGCTGTTGTAGGTAGTTGGAAGCATTAAATCAAATTCACGCCGTTGGAAGATTGAATCTGTAGAGCTGCGACCAAACCGGTCGACGTATGGTATAAACCAGTCGACGTATCCTTTATCATACCGGTCGATGTATGCTACTTACCGGTCGATGTATATGTTGAGTTCCTAAGATTTCAGTACTGCCTTGATACCAGTCGACGTATGTGCAAACCGGTCGACGTATGAGTTGATCTTTGAATTTCGCCTCTGAATACATACAGGTCGACGTATGGCATAAACCGGTCGACGTATATGAGCTTCTCATCGAATTTGGCTACTGCATAGATACCGGTCGACGTATGGCATGAACCGATCGACGTATATGAGCTTCTCATCGAATTTGGCTACTGCATAGATACCGGTCGACGTATGGCATGAACGGTCGACATATATGAGTTGATCTTTGAATATTGCCTCTACCTTGTAGAACATTTGCATTCTCTTGTTTTTGCATCATCTTGTGCGTTAGTTAACCATATTCTTTATAGAATGTTTGCAGCCTCTTTATGTTTCAGGAATGTGCATTTGAGTCCATATGATGTCATGAAGATCCTTTCATTTCTTCAATTAAGAAGCATTTATTTCCTTGCATTCAAACTCAGTTGAAATATTAGAATATAAAACTCCTTTAACTGATTTGTTATCATCAAAACAAATGGATTAGGACTTTGATCGACAAGCATCTTTGATAAAAATTTCTTGCTATACATATTATTATTATATATATTGGTCTCTTCTTTTATATATGAATTTGATCATAGAAAGTATATGGCAGCATTTACTGACACTTTTTATTGCTTGTTTCATTGTGTATATAGGTAATTATCCCGCTACATCAGATTAAAGCGGTTAACCCTTCATCAAGCCGAACTAATCCCGCTGAAAAATACATCCAGGTTATCTCTGTTGATGGCCATGAATTTTGGTACATGGGCTTTCTAAACTACGACAGTGCGGTGCAGCGCCTACAGGAAGTTTCGCAAGCCGGTGACTTACAATCAGTGTGACACTAATCTCCCGTTTTTTAAGCTTTAAGCGCATGGTTAAGTGTGTTCATGATGCCAAGAACCACTTAACTGTCATACTTCAATCCTGGAGTGCTCTTGAAGCATCTTGACTTAAAAGATCAAAGACGATGCCACAACTCTTCTTTGAGGACTCTTTTTGATATAGCTATAGAGATGAGACTAGGTGAGTGGACATTTCATGACTACAGATAAAATAGGTATATGGAGTCTTGCTAGTTTACAGTTCATATGGTAATAATTTTGCATGCTACAAATCATTTGGCTACTTAACATTGTATTGGATCTCTTTTTTTGGTAAGGTAATATGATCTGTTGAAGATACTAGCTGTATAAATCCTGCACTTTACAATTGCAAGTCTCTTGATTTTTTTTTTTTATTTAAAATTTCTAGACCTGCTTTATTGCATAATCTGCATTTAACTAGAATAATTTATTTATTTATTTATTATTATTTTTTTTATTGGTAAGAAACTCGTACACCCATTTGCTCTTACGAGGATTTAGAATTTATGATCGAATAAACTCATGCACCCATTTGCTCTTACGAGGACTTAGAATTTATGTTCCAATTTGTGGCGCGTGCCGCAATACCCCATTAAGGGAAGCCCCCGGTCTAATCTTTTAGTGGAGTTGGTTTGGAGACGGATGGGGCTTGAGAAATGGGAGGTGGGAACTCAGGGAAGCAATTCATGGACCTAAGGTGCAAGTTAATGCCATTGACATGACAACTTACCCAGTAACTAACCTTTCAAAAAAAGTAATAATAAATAAATAATAAAAAATTACCAATGGATGAATTATCTAGCACAATTAGTTTTTCACTTTTCAAAAAGAAATTAGAAGTACAAGTTTAAGAAGAAAAATTTGTGTGAGAGTATTAACTAGAAAATAAATAAATAAATAAAAAACTTACCCACTAACTAGAAGGGTAGGATGGGTATGGTTTCAACCAAGCAAAATAATTTGGCTTTTGAGAAATTTGTTTTAGACTCCAGAAGAAAATTTCTCAATAACTTAGAAAATAAAGAATTATAAGAAATGTTCTTTTTAAATTATATTTCGTATATATTTTTTTAACTAAGTCTTTGTAAAACAGTTTTTAAAAATCGGTTAACCAAACAATCACTATGGAAAAAATTAATCTAAGTTCCGATAATTATAAAGGTAGATTCGTAATTATTTTTAAAAAATCTAATATCGTTATATATTTTTATAAATCGATTAATTTCATCGGATGAAAGCTGGTGGTACCGGACTAACGGTACTTTCTGTAGACAAATTTGATGGAGAATGCAAGGATTGAATTTCACAACTCTTAGTTCTTTATTCATTACACTTCAATCACGATTCTGCGACTACATACCATGCTCTAAAATTTTCAAATACCGAGAATATTGCAGCTGACAGTATAAAAAACTCAGTAAACTAGGGTTGAGACTTATTATTACCAGTTTAGTCTGGTCAAAGTTATGCATCAGCTCCAATATAAATGTGGATTTTCCTTATCTGGGACCTCTGGGTACAAATATATATATATATATAGATCTGAATTTTCCTCTATAAATGTGAGCTTAGCAAAAGGAAATCAATAAAATCTGTGGTGGTCCAGTCGAATATGACTAGTCAAACAAAAACAGATGTCATCTGAAAACTTTATTAATTAGTTACATTCTTTTACACTCTCCATGGGTGGATCTGTAATTTCAGTAACTAGAATCCGACAGTGACAAAAACTGCCATATTGCTAAAATAAACTTTGTTAGTAACAGTACAGTAGTAATATTTTTAACTGGTCTTTACAATCGAAATAAGTAGAAATAAAAAATTACTTGTTCTGATACTATACTACTGAGTTTCTGACCAAGCCTCTTTTACCCATCTCTCTACTTTTTACGGTTGGTATTCACCACCCACCACTCCCCCACAGCTTACAAAAAGTTGCAGTACTCTTGGTTGTCGTGTTGCTAACGTGGTAATTTTGGTGGTGGTCACTAGTTCAGGTCCCGTCAATGTATATTTTCTTGGTAAAAAGAAACCAAGGTTCTACTGCCCCTAGAAAGATGTACTTCAGATATATATATATATATATATACACACACACACAATGAGAGAGAGATCACTTCAATTCAATTGACAGCAGAGCTGTTATAACCTGTTCTACGCCCCACCACAATTTGCAGTGACAGAGACTTTAGTAAGAGACAATGGCACAGCATACCTACAGGGTAATCGGTGGAACTGTTAAGAATTGAAACGGTGTTTAAGTTGGATTTCGATTTCAATTTACAGTTTTGATTTCAAATTTCGAAACTGTTAAGAACCGGAATGGTATAATAATTATATATATTATGTTTTTAATTATATAATTACGATACTTACAAGGATATATATATATATGTATATATATAATAAATAAATGTATGTTCTCATATACAATATTATATACTAAGATGCATTGCAGATGAGTTTAGAGTTAATAAATTATTATTATTTTTTAAATAAAAAAAAATTGAAACCGAAACTAGGACCATGGAACCGATTCAGAACCGAAACAATTCCCCACGGTTCCGATTCTAATTTCAAAGAACTATTAGAAACAATTCCAGTTTTGCCACGAACCATAGGAACCTGTGTGCACCCTTGGGCCCTAGCATACTAGAGAATTATTTTATATATGTATATATATATATAATAATATAATAATATATATGTATATATATACCATTGGAAACTCTAATCATATGATATGATTTTTTCTTTTTCTTTTTTAAAAAAATGACTGTTTTAATTTGCACACAAAACCTTACATGATGGATGCATGCTTATACATGAATGATACAACAGCTATTAAACTGAGACAATACAAGACCTATTACATGGAGATTCAATATAACATTCAACACCACCTATAAAATCAAGAATGCAACAACATTATTTAAAAAATGTGACGCAATTTCCTCTAGAATGCAATGTTATGATGAATGCTGTTAAATGATACAATTGTGGCAGAATTTCATTGGTTGAATGATACAATTATGGCAGTCAATTGTATAATTTGATAAGGCAATAAGCAAACTTTAAAGAAAGTAATTGATAATGAATGAATTATTTTGTATCAGCGACAAGTAAGGTATCCAAAGGCGGCAACATTAGCTTATAAATTAGGCATGACACATATCAAAAAATTGTAAATCCAACTATGATCATGGGAAGATCCCAGAGAAACATTCTGATCAAGAGATGATAGAGTCAGAATAAATTATATTGGTTTTTTTGTATGAATAAATCTTTTTTGTGTGCAATCTTCAAGAGAGATATTTGAAGTTTATCTTTTGGGTGTGTTTTCTTCTTTATGTAAACCGTATAATTATTGAGATTTTTCTTGAGAGCATTTGGTGAGCTTTTCTTCTTTTGGTAGGTAACGTTTTGTTATGAAAAGGGGAATTATTGTCTGGAAGAACCAAAATATTCTTCAATTTGTAATTTTCTTCTGTATAGTGATACGGATCATCATCGCCAGTGGATGTAGTCCTATTTGTGAGAGTAAACCACGTAAATTTGGTCTCGCGGTATTTTTTTTCCAACTTTATTCACATCTTTCTGTTATTAGGATTTGTCATCATTGTGTGTATATTTGTTTGGGTCGCTTTCGCACAACAGATTTGTGTCAAAGGCTTCCGTTGCTGTCGACAATTGGTATCAGAACTTCCGTTGTGCCTAACAAGTGGTATTAAAGCCTAAGTTGCAAACTAGGATCTTTTGGGATGGCTTCCAAATCCATGAGATATGAAGTTGAGAAATTTGATGGGAAGAACAACTTTGGGATGTGGCAAGTTAAGGTGAAGGATATTCTTGTTAAGGAATGTTTGATAAAAACCTTGGATGATAAACCTGATCCAACGAAGAAAGGCGAATAGGAAAAACTTTCTATCAAAACTTGTTTTACGATCCGATTATGTTTGTCAAAGGAGATCAAACATAATGTGATAATAAAGACGTCAGTAAATGAGATTTGGGAAAAGCTTAAAAAACTATATTTGGAAAAGTCATTTACAAATCGGGATCAATCTTAAGAAAGAGTTCTATTATTTCAACATGAAGGAGGGTTCTATGATGCAAGACCATCTCAACGAGTTTAATAGGCTTCTATCGGAACTATTAAACATGGAGGTAAAAATGGACGACGAAGACAAAGTCTTAGTTCTCTTGCCTTCTCTTCCCACGAGGTATGATCACTTGGCGACTGCTATGTTATATGGGAAGAAGACTGTAGTCTGGATATGGTTAAATCAGCACTTCTCTCTCATGAGAATCGGAGGAAAGTGTTGGAAAGTGACAGAGACGGAGAGGCCACGGTTTTAGCCGCAAGGGAGTGGACAGAAAATTGAGGCTCAAATTTAAATAACTCTATATCCAAATCAAGGAATTACAAGAACAAGAAATGTTACTATTGACAAGGCAAAGATTGGGAATGGTAAAGAGAATGTTCAAGAGGCAGCTTATATGGTAGCTACTACAATGAGTGATTCAGAAAATGATGATTATGTTTTCATGGCAATCTCGTTTTCAGGTATGTCATTTAATGACACTTGGATTCTTGATTCTGGTTGTTCTGTTCATATGTGTCCCAATAGGGATTTTTTCTCCTCCTACAAAGAGGTGAAAGATGGTTCTGTTTTGATGGCGATGGAAAAGCCTTCAAAATTTTAGGAATTGGAAAAGTTAAGATCAAGACACACGACGGGTTGGTGATAATGACATATACCGGATTTGAAAAAAAGCCTTATTTCAGTAGGTATATTAGACTCTAAACGTTACAAGGTTGTAACAGAGGGAGGAGTTATGAGGGTCATGATGAATTCTTTTGTGGTGTTATTAGGCATCAAAGTGGGAAACTTGTATATTCTCTAAAGGAATATAGTAACATGTGGAGCTATTATTAGGTTTTCTACACTGAGCAAAAATCTGCATTCGGGTCTTGGGAAATGAGGAATTACAGAGAAGAGTGATGTTTTTCGTTCTTAAAAGAGTTATGAAAGGGCTATACAAAATTATGGGAGAATGAAATCCATTTTCAGATGGCAACCGAAATTGCAGCAGTCCTTACAGGGAGGCAGACCTATGAGGACAGATATGGTGGTGACTCGTAACAATCTTGGTGGCAATAACATAGCCCATTTGAGTGCCATTAAGATGCGTGAAAAACAAGTTGTTGATCACATTAGAGATGCGAGAGAAAGTCAGGGACATCTTATTCTCCACAAGGGTGAGATATGACTTTTCATTATCAACCGGTGGTTTGTGGGTGGTTGGAGGAAGTTGTTAGAGTAGATGTCAAACTTAGAGTTTCCGTGGGTATTTTTGATAAACATTTAGAGTTTGACAAAAAGACTCGAGACATGCTCGTGTTTGCGCAAGAAGTGCATGGGTTAAAGAAGGAGACCCTGAGGGTTAGGTTTGAAGAGGCCTCAAACTTAACTAAAACTTTTCATTAATTTGGTTTTTTCGATGGCAATGATGATAACGTTTTTTTTTATGATTATTACTCACATTTTGGTGGAGAAAGACTCTTTATGGCAGTGCCTTATCATTTGTATGGAGATTGTTGAGATTTTAGCATAATTTCATTAGTTGAATGATGCAATTGTGGTGGTCAATTGTATAACTGTGTGGATGGCTTAATGCGTATACTAAGGGTTTGATAAAGCAATAAGCAAACTTTAAGGAAAATAATTGATAAAGAATGAATTGCTTTGTGCCAGCGATAAGTAAGGTATCCAAAGGCAACAACATTAGCCTATAAATTAGGCATCACATGCTATAAAAAATTCTAAATCCTACGATGATCACAAAGATATCCCAGAGAGACATTCTGATTAAGAAAGAGTGGAGTCAGAATAACTTATATTGGCTTTTTCTGTGAAGAAATCATTTTTGTGTGTAATCTTCAGAGAGAGATTTGAAGTTTGTTTTTTGGGTGGGTTTTCTTCTTTATATAAACCGTATAATAATTATTGGGATTTTTCTTGAAAGCGTTGGGTGAGTTTTTTTTTTTTCGTTTGGTAAGTGACGTTTTGTTGTGAGAAAGGAGATTATTTTCTGGAAGAACCAAAACGTTCTTCAATTTGTAATCTTCTTATATATAGTGATACGAATCATCATCATCAGTGGACGTAGCCCTATATGTGAGGGTGAACCAGGTAAATCTAATGTTTTTCTTTTCATATTTATTTATATCTTTCTATTATTAGGATTTGTCATCATTGTGTATATATTTGTTTGGATCCCTTTCGCACAATAGATTGGTGTCAGATGCTTTCGTTGCTGCTCGATAATTGGTACCAGAACTTTCGTTGTGCCCTACAAATACAAACCGACCCTCTAGTTGTATAAATTTTTATTGTTAAATAAGTTACAATCGAACCAAACTAATCACTAATCACTCGAGTTCGATCAGGGTTACATTTCCTACTTGTCCGACTATTGCTAAGCAATTTTGGATATCAAACGGACCTCCTCAGAAGGTAATTTTAATGTGGCCAATTTCTCCTCTTTTGTAATCAACTTCTCTACAGCACTCGTTGCTCTAGCTAATTGTCCACCCTTTCCATGTGTGATTTCTATATTATGTATGGTCGTGCCTAAGGGCATATCAGTTAAAGTAGATTTTTCTTTTTAATCAATCAAAACCCCTTTTTCCCAAACTGTACAAGCTTTTTCTAAAGCATACAACTTTCTGGATGACTCAAGCTCATTTTTTAAACGAACTTGTCAAACTTGGGCTCAATTTTTAAGTTCATATGATAAATGAGTTGAGCCTAAACAACCTATTATTTGGCTTGTTAGGCTTGTCATCATGTTCATGAACAATATTTATGAACTAGCCCATTAGGATTCTTAAACATGACTCATTTTTAACCCTTAACAATCGTGATCTCAAACTCGAATTTGAGTGAGTTTAAGATTGGGATTGACTCGAGCATGAGGATGTCCTCAAGATTCTTACACATGACTTGTTTATTAGAATTTTTTTTATTTTTAATAAATAATAATAATAATTTTTCTTAGCAATATTCGATTGTTGAACATAACATCAAAATGGAGGTCTATAATGTTATGATTGAGGAGAGAATTATGGATAGTATGAGTAGGGCTGCAAATGAACCGAGCTGTTCATGAACAACTCGGGCTCGGCTCGTTAAGGGCTCGGCTCAGACTCGTTCATTAAGCAAACGAGCCGAGCTCAAGCCTAATTTCTAGGCTCGTTTACTAAACGAGCCGAGCCTGAGCAACGTTGGGCTCGGCTCGCATAGGCTCGTGAACATGGGCTCATTAAGGCTCGTTAAGGCTCGTGAACAAAGCTCGTATCAGGCTCGTTACATATATCAGGCCCATTCTATATATATCAGGCCCATTTGTTTTTATTGTACATTTAAAATGTTTAGTCCATATTATTTTTAAGTTTGGCCCAGCTCATATTTTTCATTAATATGGCCCAAGCATTATAACTTACTAGCCCAAAGAAAATCCACCATAGATCCATAGCCCAAATAAGATTTCATCTCACCCATTAAATTAGAACCCATCTCATCCGTTGATTTTGTAAGATATCAAAAAACCCTAAAACTACACCCCACCATTCAGATCTGCCTCTTCTCCACAACATCGTCAGTCACTCTCTCTCTATCACTCACTCACGAGTTACGAATCAACTCCACCGGTGACGAAAACCCTTCCATCTGCACAACTACTTCTCTGTCTCTCTCTAATCAACTCAATCACCATAACTCTCTCTCTCAGATCTAAACGCATCGTCTGTCATCGTCATCGTCAGCTGCGGTCCTCTGTCTTCGCCATGGACGTCGTCCGTTTCCCGCCGTCGTCTGTGCCGCTGTCCCTCCATCCTCATCATCATCGTTGGCCATCCTCTATCCTCGCCATCAATTAGGTACTGCATCAATTAATTTTTTGGCAAAACTTTATTTTCACTTTAATTCCATGAATCTGGACAACCTCAAAGCATTCTTTAGGCAGTTGCAGACAATTTTGTTTAGTCTTTTCTTCTGCTTCTTCTAAATTTATGGAGACTAATGCTCAATGGCCACAGGTAACTAAATTAATTTATCTCCAACTTATTTTCCTCTGTGATTTCTTTTTCTACTTAATATATACAATGTTTCAGTGGTTCTATAGATATTATTATCATGGGAATTTATAACTTTTTGATGTGTTGTTTTTTCATAGAAAATGCATAATGCACTCATGCTCAATTTTGTCCTTTTTTTTTTTTTTTTTAGAAATTAACCCTTAATTTGTTCTTGAAACATAAAAGCTTGCATTACTGCACCTTTTTTTTTTTTTTGTTTTGTCCTTTTTCTTTTTACTTACATGATAGTTGATAAAGTAATGAAAAAAGGTATTGTGACCTGTAGAATACTAATTAATTTTGAATTTTTTTTATATTTTTTTTTTGTTAAACGAGCCTAGCCCGAGCTTTTAAAATCAAGACGAGCCCGAGCCCGAGCCCAAATTTTTGAGCTTGTCACGAGCCGAGCCCGAGCCCGAGCCCGAGCTGATCCCATAAACAAACGAGCCGAGCCCGAACAGCCTAAAGCTCGGCTCGGCTCGGCTCGGCTCGGCTCATTTGCAGCCCTAAGTATAAGCGGCTAAAGCATAAGTAGACCTATTTATCATTATAATTATGTTTTTGTTTTATATGAAAAAATATTATTTTATGTTTCACTTGTAGTCATGTATATGTATAATGACATTTTTTTTTATTTATTATTTTTTAATGAGTGTATGATGACAATTTTCTTAATAAATAAATAAAAACATGTCCAGATGTCTATCCAGATTACACGCTTGACTCATATTCGTAATCATTTTTAAAAAAACAATCAAACCACGTCCTCAAACAGGATTTATCATTACATAACGATTTCGCATAGGAGTACTCTATCAAAATTACTTAACGATTTTCGCGTGGGAGTACTATCAAAATTTATGCTTTGGTTAGGATGGAAGAAATGGGAAATTAGAGATGATAGCTGACATTCTTATAAAACAGGTTGTGTAATTTTTATAGAGAGAAAGTGGTGTTAATTATAAATAAAGTTTTATAACTTAAAAATAAAAAAATACATTCTCACAATTAATGTGTACCAATAATAAATAGACACATTCTATTTTAATTACCAAATCAGATGGTAATCAATCATAAATAGTAATCAAATCACCATCTTTGATTTGGTGAGTGAGTATCTACTCTCATCATATTGAATTTGGTAATCAAATCACCATCTTTCATTATTAGTGCACGTTAACTATGAGAATGGTGTTACTAGTAAGGACCTAAGTACTCTAAAGTATTAATAATAGCAAGAACAATAATGAGGTCCTATCTTAGTGAATGCTGATGTGAACTAATAATAAATGGATACATTCTATTTTAATTATCAAATCATAGGTGGTAATTAATTCACCATCTGATTTAGTAAGTGAGTATCTATCCAATATATTTAATTTGATAATTAAAATTATTTATTTATTATTGGTTCACAGAGTGAGTATGTATGATATAGATATTCAATCTTAAGAAAATTAAAAATTTATAAAAAAAAAAATGATTTATCCATCTTTCTTTTGTTGTCTCTTTTCTACTTAAACAAATAAAGTTTCCTCCCTATTTTACCTCTTTCATTCCTTCTTACCAAGTATAAAATCATAGCTTTACCGTATTTAGGGCCAAAATTTGTTGCGTGCTATGCGTGTGCGTGTGTAGAGAAAGAGAGAGAGGAAAAGGTTCTCAAATTTTGAGTGGAAAAGGGAAACCTGTCTTGACCACTCGTCTTGTTTATGGTCTTCCAAAAAGGGATTGTTGTATACTCAGCTCTGACTTTCACAAGAAAAAATAAAATGAAACAAACATCTATCTCATATCTTTTAATCTCCACTTTTTTTTTTGGATGAGCCAGGCAGTTCCTCTGCTCTTTTACCATAATCTCCTTTTCTTTTTTCAGTTGAAATTGAAGCTAAAAATAAAAAAACTGTATTTTAACTAGACACAACATATTTGGATCATTTTAACCCAAAAAAAAAAAAAAATCATATTTGGATCCTCCAAATTTATGTTCTTCTCCACCTTCTACCTGTGGTGACCTCTGATTATTGGCAGCAGGTGAGACTTTCTCTACATGCTAAAAGCATGACACCACTCTCTCTCTTTCTTTCAAAAACCACACCAAAACTCCTATTCCACCAAACTGTTTGATTGGACTTTGGTGCGAGAGGCCACAAAAAAAAAAAAAATTTCCACATTTCATGACTTGTTGTCCACTTGAGATTGAGATAGTACGTCAAATTTTCTCCTCTTACTGTTTGGACTATTGTGATGTTGTGATGAAGAATTTGCACATGACCCAACTGTCATATCATCACTTTTGTAGCTCAAGCTGAAGCATGCCACTTCTAACACCCCATTTGGGCTTTGGGGTACTGTTGTAATTGTGCCATTACCACCAGTCCCCACATTACTCCAACCACCACTATTCAATATCAAATCTTGTATCAATTCAACACACTTCAATACTCTCCCCTGAAATTTCACAAACATACATTAATAAAAAATTAAAAATTAAAAATTAAAATAAAATTAAAAAAACCCAAAAAGAGAGATCAAAGAGATCTCCAAATATGAAAAACAAATTTGTCCTGTCTAGGGTAATAATGGTTTCAGTGGGTACCACTAGTTTTACCTTTTCTAAATGCATGAAACAAGACATTGCCTTGTCAATGTTTACTGCTTTTATTTCTCCTGAAATAGACAATGCCACTGCTGCGGCAATTTCACAAGGCCTGAATTCCAAGAAGTCAATCCCTGCACTCAATTTCCACACCAAGCACTGGATCAACACCTCAATCACACACACACGTCTGACCTAAACAGTACTACCAAAATATCAACACATACAAGAGTGAAGACACACCTTTGATTGTGGTTAATATGAGTCGAATTGATCTAGAAATCAATGGTCCTGATGGAAGTTGATCAGTACCATTGATCTTTCTAAGGAAGTAGTCTATGAAGGAACAAGGAGTGCAAGCTTGCATTCTCCAATTCAAGGTGTTCAACACCAGCAGCTCCATTCTTTGTATTGTTTTACCTTCAAACACATACTTGGGCTCTCCTACCTGCCCAAATAAACACATTACCAACACAATTTCATTAATTTTTTCTCATAAAATTCAGACCATATCAAACATCTAATGCACTAAAAGAAAATCATCCTTAAATCCTATATATATATATATATATATATATATATATATATATATATATAATATTGTTTTTTCACCTGTAGGTCTACAGTAATAGGCACTTTAGTCTCCTCCATTTTGGTTGCTAGTGATAAACAGGCCACAGCTAACAATTGCACTGTCCAAGTTTTACCTCTCTACATAATAAGTAAATGAATTAAAACAAAGTGAAATAAAAAAACGCACACAAACACATAGATATATATATATAATTAGCATTAAACACAACAAACCAAATGACAATGAAAGAAAGAAGAACACTTGGGTCCAGATATTTGACTTACAGGCAGTTCATAAACTGATAGGAATCGGTCCAAGTAGTTCATTGATAGACAAGCACTCAACGGTCCAAAACTGTAATGGGCATGAGCCTGTTCAACACCCAAAAAAACACAAAAAACCATTACAAAAATCAACATTGGCAACATATTCATAGGGTATAATCAATTAAAAATGAATAAATCATAGAGCCCAAATCATCGGATAAAAAAAATTAAAAAAAAACACACACACACACACACACAAATCCAGTCCAGAATTACACACAGCTATCAAACCACAAACATGGGGTTTCATTTAGATTGATTCAAGCAAAAAGAGTGACAGGATTTGAACAAAATGTGTTAAAAATAAACATTTTTTTTTATGAAAATGGAAAAAATCTAAGACCCATTTGCAGAAACTCAATTCAATGCCATAAAAAGTATGTAAAAATCAATGCAAAGTGAAGAAGAAAATAACACCCAGTACATTGAATAATCAAAACTCAATAAACCCATTTTTAAGAGAACTAAACAACCCACCTTCAAAATCCAATCAAAAGCCTCTCTTCTCACGCCCAAATCCAATTCCCCTGTTCTTAATCTCTTGAGATAATCGTCTCTGGGCAAATGCATTCTCTCTCTGTCAGCCAGTAAATCGAAACTCTCATCACTCAGCAATGGTAAACCCATCAATGGCTCTGATCTATCAATGCCAGAGACCATGTTTGGATCATATGTTTGATGGGTTTGGTCATCTGTGGCCACTGAATCAAGATCATCAAACCACGACTTGTTGGTTTCCGTACAGAGAAGGTTTGAGGCTGCGCAGTCAAAACTGCTGTCTGCCATCGACAAACCCAGTTTTGCTCTGTAAATCCTAGTGAAATCTCATCAAAATGGGATTGTTGAAACACAATTTTTTTTTTTTTTTAATTTATGAATTTTTGCATGTAGAATATAAAATTTTCATTGTGCAATGAACCAAAGAGAGGGAGAAAAACAGAGAGAGAGAGAGTGTCTAGAGCGAGAAAGTCTAGAGAGAGAGAGGGCGGATGGAGGGACTGCTGCAAATAGATGGACCTTATGTAGGAAATGAACATTTGGTTTTAGGGTAAACGAGAGATTGGGGGAGAGAAGGCTTTTGTTTCGTAGATACAAGAAAACGAAAAAACAAAAATAAATAAATAAAATCCCTATTGTAAGAAAATGAGAGTTTTGAATGAAACTTATTCGAGTTCCTTTGGACGTCCCGAAGAGTGTTTTAATGAGTAAAAATAGAATCTTTGAATGAAAATATCTCAATAAAGATACATTACCAGACCCTTTTAATGCATAAACGTTGAATCTTTGAAAGAAAATAAGAGTATTGATTTAAACTTATTCGAGTTACTTATGAAGTGGCGAAGAGTGTTTTAATGAGTAAAGATCGAATATTTGATTGAAAATATCTCAATAAAAGTACCTTTTATGTCATTAAACCTTTTTAATGCATATAGATTGAATCTTTGAAACAAAAAAAGAGTTTGAATTTAAAATTATTCGTGCTACCTAGTAGTCGCGAAGAGTGTTTTAATGAGTATATGTTGAATCTTTAAATGAAAGTACCACAATAAAGGTACCTTTTATGTCACTAGACCTTTTCAATGTATAAAGATTGAATCTTAGAAAGAAAATAAGGTTTTTGAGTTAAACTTATTCGAGTTCCCTTTGACGGCCCATAGAGTGTTTTACAGAGTAAAGATTGAATCTTTGAACGAAAATACCTTAATAAAGGTAACTAGTATGTCACTAGACCTTTTTAATGTAAAAAGATTGAATCTCAGAAATAAAATGATAGTTTAGAGATTAACTTATTCGAGTTACCTATGAAGTCGCGAAACGTGTTGTAATGACTAAATATTAAATCGTTGAATGAAAATATCTCAACAAAGGAACCTATTATGTAACTAGACCTTTTTAATGTATAAAGATTGAATCTTTTAAAGAAAATGAGAGTTTTGAGTGAAACTTATTCGAGTTCCATTTGACGTCACGAAGAGTGTTTTACAGAGTATATATTGAATCTTTGAATGAAAATTCCTCAGTAAAGGTACCTTGTATGTCACTATACCTTTTCAATGTAAAAAGATTGAATCTTTGGAAGAAAATGAGAGTTTTGAGATTAACTTATTCGAGTTATCTATGAAGTCGGGAAGCGTGTTTTAATGAAAAAAGATTAAATCTTTGAATGGTAATATCTCAATAAAGGAACCTATTATATGACTAAACCTTTTTAATGTATACAGATTGAATCTTTGATAGAAAATAAGAGTTTTGAATGAAATTTATTCGAGTTCCTTTTGACGTCCCGAAGAGTGTTTTAATGACTAAAAATAGAATCTTTGAATGAAAATAACTCAATAAAGATACATTACCAGACCTTTTTAATGCATAAACGTTGAATCTTTGAAAGAAAACAAAGAATAAAACCCCCCATTGCAGTGGATTACATGTACAGATATATGTGTAAATTGCAAAACGATCACCTTAACTATCATTTTCTTTGTAAAAGCCCTTAAACTATTGAAATGGCAAGAATATCCTTGAAGTTTCAAAAGAAAACTTCAAACACCACCTTATTGTCAATTCACATTAAAAAAAACAGAGAGAATGCAGCCAGCACACGAGTGATATGTTTGCTATTAGAAAAACTCTAAACTTGATAACCTATTAACATTGACAAATTTAGAAAATTATGTGACGAAACGGCTTTAAAAATAACAAAAAAATCAATAGCTATATAATTTTTTAAAAGAATAAAATTAAATAATTGCCCCCACTAAGTTATTAACAAGCTTTCGCCAACCTTATTGAGATACATGGGTGTGAACCCCATCATAACAGATGTGATGTAGTGTATCTCAGTCGATTCTCATGACTCGACAACTGTAGCACGATTTTTACTATTATGACTAGTTTTTGATGATTCAATATTTAATAATAAGAATAAATTTGATCTTTTAAATTTCAACAAGGTTAAAATTGTAGCACGATTCTTGCCATTTCTTAAATTAGTATTTACTCTTTTATTACCTCTGTTTTCTTTTCTTCAGAGTATTTATTGTGTGATCCAATCAAGAATGACATAAATGGAGAATGACAGCCTTTGTGGCTTATTTTTTAAACTTTGTTGTCTTTCCATAATACTACAAGTTAAAATTGTAATTTTGAGCGTCCATTAACAGTTACTTAACGGAATATTCCTGTAATTTTGGTTCAAGAGGGAGTATTTACAAAATAGAAGTCCTTGAGGAGGTTTATTTGCAAATTACAATATACCATATATATATGTTTGTATATACATATGATACACATCATACACATGTACAACTGTGCAACATTTATTAAAAGTTGAAAACTGAGAAAATTTGAGGCAAGCAATACAGTTTGCGAGTGCTCCTACTAGGCTACTATTGATATTAGTCACACTGTGAGGTGCTATAGTGTCAATATTGCCATTGCTTGTCTGGGCAGGTTAGTATGGCATACTGGCAGTCAACGATTATGATTGACTAAAGGAAAGGGCAGTGTTGGTATACTTCATTTTAGGGGCTTGTTTGAGTGATGAATAGATTTCAAATACTGATGATGCAATTACTATTATTTTTTTGGCAAATCTAGTGATGTAATTATGATTTCCATGAAATAAATAGAGAGATTGCATCTTTAACCTGTCAATTTAAGAGATGCACCGGACCCAAATGTGATTTAGTAGGTCCTTGGGTTTTCTTGTGTTTAACCTATCTTGAATGTGGTTAGGTGTCAAAGGTATCCACCTGATCATATCCAAACGGAAAATGAAATAGATATAATTTGGAAGATATATAACATTATTTAATAATTTAAATATATATTTTTTTATAAGTGGGTATCTACCTGTTATAATTAGTATCAAAATCAAATTCAGTTATTGATTCGGTGTCACTCTAAGCATCCGACGCGGAGGAATTTAGATTGTCATCTCGGGATAGACAAGGTGACCCTACCACAACAAGGGGATTACGAGTTTGGATGGGAGAGAATGTTAGAGGTCTCCACGTTAGATCCAAATAAAAAATAAAATGGGGTATAATTGAGTGGGTATACAACATTATTTAATAACTTAAGCTTTTGAGTCAGCGAGCAAACGTTTCCGTTCTATTAGCACATTACTCAGTACCCTAATTAGTAGAACGCTCAACATCCCGAATGATTATGTCCGTATTCGAGTATCCCTTCCCTAATTACCTGAATAAAAAAATTCAATGTGATTTAGAGTACACTTAGGTCATAAATTTTACTTTTCTTGTTTATTGGATCTACTTTTTAATTTGAATTTTGTTACTCATTTAAAATTATATTTTTTTCTTATTGAGTATACACTATTTACCGTTGCGCGCCTTTATTGGAAGTTTTTTCAAGTTCAAAGAACGGTTTGAAAGCTTAAACATCACTATGGCACCAATTTTTTATGGGAAGGTATTAATGAAAAAATGTCATAAGAAAATGATTCTTGAAGATTTTTAAATTTAATTAAGGGTTTATTAATTAATTTTACGAGTCGTGTGCTACATTGAGTTTAAATGTGTTTTGAAGTGATAATTTATGATCATTAAGGAGCGGAAATTAATTATGATTCAATTGCCAAATTTAAGTAAGAAGTACAATACAATTTATGATGCCCAAACACATCAGTACATCACCTTTGACTATAACTAATTTATTATAAGTTGGTACGCCTAATCAGTTTGTATAAATCGTATTGGATTTTCATTTCCTTTTAAAAAAACACACACTTGTAGATAATTAACAGTTACAAATAATATAATAGATAACAATTAATATATAATTGTTTTATTAATTCCTTCTGATATGGAGTACCTATTCTGCGTTTCTCTTGTGGTCTCTCTGTAACCCAAAAGAAAGACGATGACTTCTTAAGATGATTTTGATTCAACTCCACACTCACTGACCTACGCTGACACACATATTTATTCCAATGTACCTCTTTATATATATATATTCATATAATATACTGTAAATATATATAGAAATTAAAAAAGTTGGAAGAATCGGTACATAATCAAGAGGATAAATTGAGATCTAAAGAAACATGCATGCTCATTCCCTTTATTAGACTTTAGCATCAAAAAAATTTCCAACCCCTTTTCTTCTCTCCTAGAGAATATTCTCTCTTTATATATAAATATATATACAGAGGCATGAAATTAATTACTTTTTCATCAACTTCTTTTGAAGGGGTTAAGTCCCAAAAATTCTGGTTAGACCAAAATAAATATGGATGTGAAACACTTTAGTCTTTAGTACATACAAGCATCTCATATCACGTGTATTTACAAAAAAACCTGTTCAACAGAGCTCTTTTTGGAGCTGCATGCATGGTTCGAGCTGGCATGGAGTACTGTGGTCCATATTAACTCGGTCTCTTTATGCATCTTTCTCTCTCTAAAACTCTACTCCTTTCTCTTTCTACAATGGCATCAAAAGCATCCAGCACTAGCACTCCATCCATGGCTAGTAGCTTTCTGCATCTCCACAATAAGCGCTGATGTCTTTTATATATATATATATATATATAAAATAAAATGTCTCTTTCCGGATCTACACTGCCCTAAATTTGTCTACCTAGCTCCTTTGCCACCACTTGCTAATTGTAAATTGCCCTATATGTTAAGAGTGTGTGTGTTATATATATATATATATATATATATATGGAATGGTAAGGTACGTGAGAATTGTATTAAAGTATAAATTAAAGAATGTACAACTGGAAATTAAGAGAGAAACTTGCCCATTGAACACAAAACATCAAGAGTTGCAGGTTCCTAAGTCACCTGTGAGTGTAGGTGAGTCTTACTTACAAATAGAAAAAATACAAACATATATATAAAAGAAAAAACAAAGAAGAACTAATTAATATCACCCATTATCACCTATGAGTGTAGGTGAGTCTTACTTACATTTTGTTCGTTAAAATATTAAATAAAATAAAATAAAAGGTGCATGTTGTTCGGTCAAATAATCTAGAGAATTTCAAACTCGTGAGGTCGTTTAGTAAATCATTTGTATTTTTATTTTATACTTTCAAATATTTTAAAATTTCAATAATAATTAAATATTTTAAAATTTCAATAATAATTATAAAAAAAAACAATTAGTATATAAACAAACGCCATAACGAACTTATAGGCTGATGACCTCACGGTCAAAGCATATGATTATAGGTTGTACAGGAAATGTTGGACTTGGACCAGATCGAACAGGAACTACATGATTCCATTGGTTATCAACCTATTTTATTTTGATCTACTCATTAACAACTCTCAATTCAAGTGACATCAAGGCCCAAGGGCCTCTAGTCAATAATATCTCCACACGTTGAGAATTTAAAATTATTATAAGAGAAAAAAATATATAATTAATAAAATTTATTTATTTATATATTAATTATTAGTAAGAGTTGATTCGCAACTTTGCAAGTTTTAAATCTGTTCTTAAATTCTCCCTAACTTTATTACGATGACAAGCCTGTTCCAAAAAGGGCGAGTTCCTATATGGAACGTTATATTAGCATAATTTTGGATTTAATTTTTAAATGTAACTTTTTTTGGTTGTTAGAAATCTTATAAAAAATATATATATATATCATCTCGTCATCATCCTTGCTTTATTCTTATTTTAATAGAGTTTGTCACATAAATTTTATTTCTCTATTTTTGTTATACATTGTGTCACCTACTATATTTAAACTTGACAGACAATAATGACGCTATTGCTATGAAACAAGATGATGACTTTTTATTTCTAACTGTGGGAAGAAACTTAACCACACAAACTCACATTGTCTTTAATGAAATTTGAACCCTCCCCCGTCTTAGTGGTCATAGGCTAGGCCATCTTAGCTTTTTGAGCCGCCTGGACAGTGGTTGGCCTATCCATTATATAATGATTGTTGCTCATTTGGGCTTTCAATGGCTTGCGTTGCGTTTAATTGTTTGCTCTGGTTGGGCTTGTGTTCTGGATTTCCTCCGGGTTTGGCTATTTTGGCCCACTCTACTTGTTGTGGCCCACTATATATATTGCTTAACCTTAAAAAAAAAAAAAAAAAAAAAAGAGGAAAAATCTTACCACTTCGCGGTGTTCCAATCGAAGGAAACCCTAGCACGACAGAAATTTCCCCTTCTATAAATAGTCCTAAACTCCAAGACCTGGAATTACCATCCGAAAGACGATGTGTGTACTGTTCAATTCGAACCAGCTCAATCTTTCTCACCGCATACTCTTCATGGAGAATCTCTCTCCATCAGAAGCAATCTTCAAGCCTTAACCCTAATCCAGGTTTATTTTTCTCTCCTCTTCTTTATTTACACCCTGTAACGATGAGCAAACCACAAACAGTTCATGGAGAGTCTCTCTCCATCAGAAGCAGTCAAGCCCTAACCCTAATCCTAATTCTTCTATCCTCTCCATTATTTACACCTGTAACAATAAACAAACCCAAAAGTCACAAACTCTTCATGGAAAATCTCTCTGCATCATAAGCAGACTCAAACCCCTAACCCTAATCCACGTTTATTTTTCTCTCTTTTTTATTTTTATTTTTTCTCGGTCCCGTTTCGAATGGTCTACCAGACAAGTACAACGATAGGGATTTATTATTATTTTTTTCGTATTTTTCTTAATCTCTTGAATTTGCTTGATGTTCTGTTAACATATTTCATGCATATGTTCTACAATATGTGTGCAGCTTTCAGGTCAGGGGACTCATAGCAATATAGCAGGATTAATTTACTGTTTTAAATTGTGTCATTCTTTGCACTTCTCTAATTTGTATTTTTATGTTACTTTAAAATTTAGATTCCATCGAGCTCATACAATTTTACAAACCATTGAATATTTTTTACTTGACCTAGACCAATACCATGCTTGATCTCATTATGGTGTTGGTCGTCCAAATGGGTTTCCTATTTCTTATTTTATTTTTTACTGCATTACTGGCAACACATCAATTGCACATTTGATCTTTGGGTGCTTCAGTTGTTTTCAAACTGGAAGGATTCATAATTTTACTACTTAATGGCTGATGCTGTCTTCCAGCCAATTCCTTGTGAAAATTGAATGTTTTCTTGTGAAGTTGTTCTTAGGATACTTGTAGAAGTTATGTGCTACTTCAATTAATGTTTATTAGTGTTACTTCTTCATTTGAAAGTCAAGTGGCTTCTTTAGTCAATATTTCTTTTGGACAGCGCTGGGGCATTTTAAGATTGTTTGGAAAGATACCGGTATAGCTATGTAAATGATTGAAAATATGGTGTTGGAATGATATGGTCTCCTAAATTCATTTTGATAAACTAAGGATCATGAAGATAATGTGAATAATGTGAATAGGGAGTTGCCGATAATCATTTCAAAAGTTGTGGGTTAAACTAATTATACAATTTACATTATTGCTTGAATCAAATTGGATATAATATACAGAATCTGCCATAGGAACATTGAGAATGAGATAAGCACAACACAAACGCTGATTGAGTTCTATGCCATTTGTCAATGCATTTCTTTGCAAATGCTCATGTTTTCCTTCCTTACCCAATTATTTACATCATTTTAAATGTATTATACACATTGCTGAATTTTTTAATAGTTGAGATTTTACTTTGATCTCTTTTCACCATTTGTCTACCTATCTCTTTGGTTTATTGCTAGACTACCATGAATTTACATTTTTGCCGACAAGTTAATGTAAGCTTCATATATTAAAATTTGGAGAGGAGGATTAATATGGAAAGTTGGTTGCTGTGATGAATATAAAACTTGTTGAAAGTTTACTATTGCTTGATGAAATATCGACAATTATGTCGAACCTGAGCGGTTACCTGAGCAACCTAGTGTCACATTTACTCTTGTATTCCTTTTACTCCTCTTTCAGTTTGTACAAATTACAATTGGTTGCTATGATGAAGAAATAATACCTGTTGAAAGTTTACAATTGCTTGATGAAATATCGACAATTATGTTGATCCTGAGCGGTTACCTGAGCAACTTAGTGTCACAGTCACTCTTGTATTTGTTTATTCCTCTTTGAATATGGAAAAATTACAATTGGTTGCTATGATGAAGAAATAAAAGTTGTTGAAAGTTTGCATTTGCTTGATGAAATATCGACAATTTAGTCGATCCTGAGCGGTTACCTGAGCAACTTAATGTTACAATTATTCTTGTACTTTAGTCCTCTTTAAATATTATGTTTCTCTATTTTCTTTATATGGCAGTTTCATATTTCTCCTCCCAAAAAAGTAATTTCGTGCTCTATCCTTTTGTTCTTTTTGCACTTCTAGAGGCAAGTATTCTAGTTGATTAAATAATAAGTTAATGGTTACTAGCATGAATTTATGTAATTTTCATTCTTAGTTTTTCTATCTATATATATCCAAATTCTTATTGCTTTTATTTTTGGAAGTTATATATTTGAAGTTTATTTGTCATAATAGCCTTGTCTCCTTAATGATGTTTACTTACACATCTGTAGGCTACTTTGTGCGATTGAGGTATTGATTTTGCGAACTCCCCTCCCCTCTTCTCTTATTTATTAGTTCTTGTTTTTTGGTTTGCTTATATTGAATTTTTATCGGCTTTCTCTTTCATACTATTGTATTTTAATGATAGATTTTATAATTTAAGAGGAACATATTGTCTTATATGCAAATGGTTTGCCAGGATGAATACTAGAAACTTGAGAGTTTTGATGTACATGCTCGAGGACATGTCAACATTTATGTCGACCTGAGTTGTTTAATTGTGTTACATATTTTTTTTCTAGTTTTAGTTTCTTTTGACATCTTTTGCGTGTGTGTGTGTTTTTTTTATTTTTTATTTTTTATTTTTATTTCTCCCATTTCCCATTTCCTATTTCCCAGAGTCTGTTTGTTCTCTGTCTCCTCCTAAATTCCTGATATCATGTATTCTTACCATTATCTTATTCATGTATCCGAAGTATATCTTTGGACTTCTCTCATATGAAATGGGGTCTATTTGTAAATAATGAATGTGGAAAACTTATTCTAAATTTCTAGTAAATATTTGAGGAAAGCTGATCCAGGGATTGATAGATATACACTTTAGTTTACAACTCAGTTTTTGTAAATACATTTTTGTGTTATAATAGTCCGGTTAGTTTGTATAGATTTTTTAAAAATTTCCCGTGGATATATATCACTATTTTTGGGTTTTAGAATAATATGAATTATTTCTTGGAAATGTAGTCATTTTTGTCATTTGGTTGCCAATGATGGGTTTAAATATGCTATGAATATTCATAATGAAAAGAACTTACTCTGAGGTACCCCTTTTTTATTTTTTTAAAAATTTCCTTTGGATATGTATAACTAATTTTGGGTTTTAGAATAATATGAATTATTTCTTGGAAAAAGTCATTTTTGTCATTTGGGTGCCAATAATGGGTTAAATGAATATCCATAATGAAAAGAACTTACTTTGAGGTACCCTTTTTGGATCAATAAATTTTTATTTTATATATAGTATTATAGTTGTTTACTTATGAAGAAGGATTTCATGCTATTTAACCTTTTTTTTTTCAAGGTAGTTTATAGGTCTTCTTAGAAGACTGCAAATTGTGTTTATTTAGATATTAGGTTGTGCAAGTGACGACAAAATAGACAGGGACATCAGCATTCCCCATTGGAGTATGATGATTTGTCTTCGGGAATCTCTCTGATGCACAATCATTATCAGACTTGGTAGAATGTTTTTAATGTTATTTTTGTTTTCTGCTTCATTTATTATTCTTTGTTTCTGTATATCTTGGGACTAACAAGATAAACTTAATCTGATTTTTTTGCTACTAACAATATGATTCTGTAGTATAAACTAGTTTCTGAATCCATTTTCCACCATTCTGATTTTTTTGCTTGAGTTGATACCAAATCTTTCAGCATCTCTCACCCCGAGTTTACTCCGTTGCATCTCTCACCCCGGGATTGATGGATATACACTTTAGTTTACAACTAAGTTTTTGTAAATACATTTTTGTGTTATAATAGTCTGGTTAGTTTGTATAGATTTTCTTTTGGATTGTTTTTGACAAGGGCTTTTGTGATCATGAGGCTTAATAGTGATTATTTGCTCATTGCTATTGTGGCAAATTGGAAGTTATCTGAAAATATATTTAATTTTTTGTCTACCTGATTTTGACGAAAGCTGTCACTAAACTCAAATCAATTTTCTGACAGTATTTTCCATATTCAACCACTTACATCATTGAAGTCCCCTTTTAGCGGTGTATGTTAGTATAATTAATTTAGATCATTGAAATGTTTTACCAATATGCATGATGCATACTTTTTTTATTACGTGTGATTCAGTAATCATTGCAGGAGTTTGTCTCCAGTTTATCAATTTCTTGTTTCACTAAGTCTTGCTATGCACCTCTATTTGTCTTAAAGTTATGGATTAGGACACTAGCGTAGTCAGCTTTGCTTTGTGTTCCGGTTGCTGTCATTTCTTGGTTTGCCTATGATGTATTTATCTGCACGTATTATCAGACATACTAATGATGATATGTGATTGTCACTACCTCTGAGGCAAAACCTTCACTAATTGAGATCTTAACTAGTATGTATATTGGTTCCTCAGTTAGTGTTACACAATAATTAGGTTTATGATATTGTCAAAAGCTTACTGAATTATAGTTGAGAATAAGTTCCATTTAAGTTTTGATCTATTGTTATATTTCCTTTAAACTATTGTGTTAGTTATTTGTTATTCCCCAAGCATAATAAATGGCAAATGATGATCTCCTTGATTTGGGTATGATGTGTCTAAATGCTTGTATAATCAGATATGGAGAGGATGACTACTGATTGTCACCTCATCTGAGGCAAAACCAGCCATGCTTTAAGCCTTTGACTTTGACTATGGTTTATACTTTATTCCTCTCTCTCTCTCTCTCTCTCTCTCTCTCTCTCTCTCTATTTTTTGTTAGGTATGGTCTCTAGTTACTTATTCAATAGCTTTGCTTAATGCATACCCTTGAAATAAGCTATCACTGTCATTAGGGGCTTATGATATGTAATTTACTAAAGCATGCTAGCTAAATATCATAGGGTATTAGATGCTAATGGAAGTGGTACCTGATTATTTTTTCAGGTATTAAGGTATTTAGTGGGGAAAAATATAGACAATTATTTTCAATGTTCACATATTGTCACTTCCAGGGCTTGTTATAAGTTGCATGTTGTTTCTTGAAAAGCCTAATGATTGATACAAAAGAACGGAGATTTGAATGGTGCTCTTTGTAGTAGCCTGACCAAAAATTGGGCTCCAATAGCATCTCATGTGATGGACAACTACTAGTTGGAAAATGAAGGCTTATATTCCAGTTTTCAACTAGATTTTTTTAATTTTTGTTGAATGTTGGCAGTTTTTTAATGTTCCAATTCCCTTTTAACAAGTCTGTTAGAAGCATGTGTGCATTATACATTGTTAATCATTTCCTGATGCATGGCAAAAGTTTTAATTGACTAGTTAGAGGGCATGATTATACATGTTAATCATTGCCTGTTGGCAGTTTCTTTTAATGTCCCAATTCTTCCTTTACAAGTTAGGGGACATGATTATACATATTAACCATTGACTGTTCAAAGATTTTTAATGTACAATTCATTCTTTACAAGTTAGGGGTGATGGTTATACATGATTATACGTGTTTTTGCATTACGGTTGTGAACATGTTTATTATTGCCCGATGAATGCCAAAAGTTTGATTTGACTGGTTAGAGGACATGAGTTCGAGTACAGAAAGACATTGTGTCTTATCCTCCAGCACTGCACGTAGGTGAGGAATACTTGTGATTGCCAATATTTAAATGTTAAACATGTTGGTCTGTTGCTGTGGGATATTTTGGCCAATAACAAGATTTGATCTAATGCTCCTTGTTAGTTTCTGTGCTGCAGTGTCTTAGAAGAAGATTAGGACCGTTGGATTTGCTTTTGTGCATGTTCTTTTTGTAATATGTTTATAAACTGCTCAAGGGTTCATTTGGCAGCCAAGCTTGCTGAAATTCAAAGTTCATTAAACGAACATCTATTTTCAATTTTTTTTGCTCCTCCAAAAAATAATCTACATAAAATCCCCTGATGTTGCAAAGTGATTTTATATTGACAAAAATGTCCTTAATATAAATTTTAAAAAATTTAGATTTTTTATTTTGTTTTTAATTTTTTAAAATTAGAACTTAAAAAAGTGTACGCTGATTATGGGATATTATGTGACAAATACCTCTTAATATAAATTTGAGAAAATTTAGATTTTTTATTTAATTGATTTTTATTTTAGGTTTTCTCTGTGTTAAAGATGTCATTTTCAATATAAATTCGTGTACTTTTGGTTATTTGAAAAAAAAGTTAATTCACTTACTATGATTATTCGTATTTTTATAAAGTTTAAAAGCTCACTCACTGTTTTTCAATTTTATTGAAAAATAAAGTTTGGAGAAATTGGATAATGGATGGGAATATTGAATAGAGAGGGTTAAGCTTTAACAAATATGAAAAAATGGACAGTTAAAAGTTACTCACTACTACGGTTATATCCTTTTCTTTTCCTTAAATATGATATTAACATGACTAAGGAAATAATCTCACTCTTTCTTATTGATCTTACGTAATGGATCTTTTATTTTTATTTAACTACCCAGTTTTTATATAATTGTTAAAGAAAAAGAAAAAAGAAAGACTAATATTACAATTATGATATTGGTTTGATAGAATTTGATTTAATTGAAAATTCAGAATACAAATTTGTTTTGATTTCAAAAGCAAATAAATAAATAAAATAAAATAAAATAAACTAGTACATGTACTACAAGAATTTAGCATTTGCCCAAATTCGTAAGTATGGTCTGATCAATTGAAAGAGTTTTCGTTTCCATTGATATATAATGAAAAATGATAATATATACATATATTATTGGCACCAAAGTTTTCTAATTTTTTTTTTAAAAATATGCCATGTATAATTATTACACACACTCTCTTCCTTTTTCTTTTACATTTTTTTTTTCTTTTCAAATTTGACGTAACTTAAAATCTTGCTCCATACAATTTAAATCCCAACAGATGAGTAAAATTCTTGTGCTTACTGTTAAATATAGAATCCTATTGAATCTAGAATAATTTATTTTTTATATTTATATCAATTAATCTAATAATTTTCTCTAAAATAAAAATTGAATAATCTCATTTAAAAAAATAGTTGTAAAAATTATCACATAATATTAATTCAATTGACATAATAAAAATATCAATATTTTAATTACCAATCTGAATTTTAATATAAAAAAATGTCCGTCTCTAAAACGTTTTTGGTCTTTTCAACAATTTTAAATAATAACCTAAAATAATTTCATGAGATATTGAAAAGACAGCCTCTACAAACTTTTGTTTTATTTTTTATTTTTAAAGGAGCCTATGTAGTTTTCAATAACAAATAAATTTTTTTTTTCTTTTTGAAAAAAATAAAAGGAGATCCAATGCTGATACTTCGTGTATTTAATACCGTTTCGAACAATAACTGAGATATTTGAAATATAAGGGGGAAAAAAAAAATGAGGATGGCGTCATAAACAAGCAATCTCCAACCTATATATCTATATAAAGACGCACCTGACCCGATATACGAAATATAACGTACTGGTTAGGGTTTCTGCTTCTCGTTCTTTGAGGGCTCGATCAGAAATAGGTCTTGAGGCCGCGGTTGGGTCTGGAAGCTTTACCAATATGTATCCTTTTCGCAGTTGGGGTTTCTTTCAAGAGGGTCCGATAGGGTCTCGAGGCTGCGATTCAAACAAGGGTATGAGGGTTAGGGTTTTATCGTCCTCTATTCGAGGGCTAATCAGTGATCAGACTTGGGTCTTGAAGGTGCGATTCAAACCCGCGTTTGAGGGTTAGGGTTTTCTCGTCCAATATTCGTTCTTGAGGGGTCGATATTCAAACAAGGGTCTTGAGGGTTAGGGTTAGATTCAGAAAATGGTTTTTTGGGTTCGACTGAAACAAGGGTCTTGAGGGTTGGGGCTCGATCCAGATGATGGTGTTGTGGTGTTGGATCCGGTTGATGGTTTTGTGGGGCTCAATACTGAGGGTTCTGCGGGCATCTTTTGGGTAAAAATTCGTAAATCAACTTTATTTAACTGATTTATTTACCATTTATTAGTCTAACTTCTACTCTAATTTTTTAATTGATAACTGAAAATTGTATCAAAACTAGATATAGAAGGATAGAAATTGATTGATTATTAAGATATATAAAGATCAATACATTATTTTAATAATTTTTTTTATAAGTATTAATCATTTTAAGTACTCTTTACATGTATGTATGTTAATCATATGTCATTTTCCTATATTATTGTGCTTGTGCTGAATTTGTATTTCATCTCTATTTTAATGGTCTAATGTTTTTATTTTATTTTTATAATTTTGTATTGTATTGGTAATTACCCCACCTTCCCTGAAGCGTAACATAATTACACCGGCTTCTCCAGTTGATTAGAAACTTACTTGGTTCTCCCCTATTGTTGTTACTGAAGCTCTCACCTATATTAGCAGAATGCGCTTGACAATTTCCAAATGGGAATGCTAGTGTCCAGTGTAGTATGTTTTAGTCAAAGAGGGAAGTCTATGTAATTATGTTATTCCTGAAAGAAGCCAATGTAATTTATTTATTTTATTTTTTATGTTATATTTTTGCATTCTATGTATTGTTGCATTGTTTAAACAAATTTCTCTTCATGTTTAAGATGATTCTAATATAAAGATTCGGAAGCTCAAAGATGGTAAGAGTGCTCAGATCGAATGATTTGAGAGGCTGGTGGTTCGAATCCACCCGAATCAATTTGATAATAGAAATAGTGAGTGACATTGCTTTTATCTTTAAAAGCGTATGCGGTGGCTACTTTTTTCTTGCTGGTGTCTCTTTGAATATTGCTGTAGAAATGGCATCGGCTGTATGTGGATACGGAGCTGAGATGTCTGTTTTAATGGGGTAAATGTCCCGTATAATATATACCCATCCTTCATTTGCCTTCTTACGAAGCCTGCTGCTGTAGACACCTAGCTAGAAGAAATTATTTAAAACAGAAAAAGAAACTATTGTGTGGTCCTTCCAAATAGTGGCATCAATTTGCTATGTAGAATTGTGCCAACAAATTCATATTTAATCTATTACTTTATCAGTTGCTTCCGAAGTTTAAACTTAAATGATTTGTGATGTTCTTTAATGTTGGCTAAAAGGAATGTGTTGGAGCCACGGAGGCGGAATCATTTTCGAAGAGAGGTAATGGTTTCATTATGAGCAAGGTAAAAAGAGTAGAGGCCAGATGCTTGTGTTGAGATTAAGTAATCTATTTAACTAGCCACAGTACATGCACATTCCTTTGTGCAGTTACTTGACATAGGGTAAGAAAAAGTGTTTATTGTGTTAGTTGTTTGTATCAGTTTATTGATTTATTGAGGTTTGTGTATTCTGACTCGTTACTCTCATTTTTTTTTCCCATGTATGTGTGTGTTTGTGCGCACTAGTGCATGGAAATAATAACTGGAAATTCATGATGTTGTTAAAGTTTCTGGTGCACCTCCACCTAGGAAGGCTATAGTGCAGCAATGCATCCTTGACCTGGGGGTTCTGGGAGATTCTATGAAACTATGTAACCTTGTTTTGAGTATTCCATTAATTAAAGTTTTTCTGTGGATACTTGCACTTGAGTGTTTTCTCAGTCCTTACCTACATAAAAGGTTTCAGCCTTCAAGGCCTGTGATCAACTTCTGTACAGCAGTTGCCATTGAGGCTTTGGGTTCTCTTAGGACTGTTAACAGTGATGTTGTGAAAAGAATACTTCCATATATTATTTCTAGACTACAGCTTGGTGCCGAGGGAGGTTTGGATCACAAGTTGAGGTTTTAAAACTTACCATACAATAGGGAGTTTGGTTTCTCCTATTTTTATGTTGTTTTTTTTTTTTTTTTTTCCTTTGATATTTTCACTGCCCTCCCTCAAGGTCTATGATTTGGTGACATGTTCACCCCTTCCATTAACAGTCAACTCTGGTCAATGTATTTTTTGCTTATGCTAGCAAATGTAAATTTTAAAACACCAACTTTGCCAAGCTGCCCTTAGAATGAGTGTAAAGTCAATACAGGTTTATGAAGTTAAATAGTAAACTTACAATTTCCTTTAACACCATTTAAGGACAAAGTCTAGTAGAGAAAGTGTAATTTTAAAAACATAGGGAAGGTCATTTTTTTTTTTTAACTCAACTAGAAGGGCGGTTACTGTAATTTTGTCTTGTAAATTCTGTTTTCATAATTTGCCAACTTCACAGTAAATGTAACATATGCCTGTTACTTGAATGCTGGTAGGCTAAATATATTGGTCAGGCGACTCAGGCACAATCCTTTGGGGTCAATTTTTTGGAAATTGTTTTTGTTTTGTTTTTTTTTTTTTTTTGAATGATCTGTTTGGATTCTCAGTTCTGGGGTTGGTTTTAGGATTAATCAATAAAAAAATTGGACTTGCCAAAATGAAAAGTAGCAGAGAGAGCCTCAGCAATTAATTGGACACACTTTCAACATTCTTAACTTTGGAGAACAAAGACATGGGATGTGCTATCTTTTCTCCAACTAACTGTAGCTTGGGATGTTTCTCCTCTTCAAGAAAGTACTCGTGAATTCTTCTGTAGATCACAAAAACAAAATTACCTACAAAATTTCATTAGAGTGAAACAAGTTTTCCCATATAAAAATGAGTTGACTAACTAAATTTGCCAAGTGGTTTGTTGTAACGTATTCTAGAAATGAATGATCCACTGTCCAAATTTTATTGCATTGCAGGCCTAGACAAAATGAGACCACGTAACAATTCCCACTCCACCTCAGGAGAAATCTTTATCAGTGACTGTAATTACTTGAAGAAAAGGTCATACTAAAAACATGCGGGGCTTGTGGGGCCATATCGAAGGTTTATCTGAATTCTAAATCATTATATTTTATTTTGCAAGGGAAGTAGAGTTTTTGGCCCATGTATAGCACTCTAATGTTGTGCGTTATAGTTGATAGTTGAACAAGTTATGCTGTCATATTGTGTGTTCGTGTCCATTAGAGTGAGAAATTTGATCCTACAACAGAAGTAGGACATGAAGCAAAATTTTAGGGGGATTCTAACAATTATAAGATAAAGAGGGGATGATACAATTCATTTCCAACGACACATATTTTACTAATATAAGCCTGTGATGAGTCGATGACACCAGACACTAGCTAGAATTTGAGGTACAATGACTATGAATTGGAGGAAGATAACTCTTTTTGTTCGATTGTCAAATGCAAGAAAAAATGCATATTATACTTTCTGTTTAGTTGATTGTTGACTGGAATCTTTATCTCTGTGTTCAGGGCCTTGGGCTGGTGTTTTGATGATTGTTGGTTTCCTAGCAAATAAGGTGGTGATGTCCACTAAACTTACTAAAAGCTTGATTCAGTCAGTTGCTGAGGTAGCTCGAGACCGATGCGAAAGAATCAACTGAATTGCAATGTTTTTATATGGTATTTATGGCCTTGGTCAACCTTTTTCAGGTATTGCCATGTGCTTTGAGTAGCAATTAATTTTAATTCTCTCTCTCTCTATGTATATACATATATGTATATCTATTATTTACCCTTAGGCATTAGATAATGTTTCTCAAGTTTCTTCTTTTGCTCTTGATGGTGTTGTGTAAATCATGAGTTTTCCCCCTTCCATGCTGTGAAAATTTTCTTTTATCTGGTGGTTCTTATACACCCTTCACTGGCCTTCAGTATGCATATAAAATCATTCCCTTGATCGTACGGTAAATTTCTTTCTAGTGTGTTTTGGAATCCCTTCTTGAGTATGGGCTTGTAACATTGTTCTTGGGACTTCTTATTTCAACTCCTATTGTAAATTTATTTTTATATATGTTCGCTGTATTTCTGATGATACATTCCTTCCTACTCTGATATAAATTATGGAAACAGCTTCTTTGAGGGGCTTCATTCATCGTGTAGTCTTTAAGCTCCGTCATTCTTGCATGAAGCTATCTCAGAGAGAGAACGACCCAATATCATCTGAATCAAGTTTATTCAGTTCATTTGGGAAATTTTAGTATTTGCCTTTTGGCTTTTACAGATATGGCGTCCATCTTCTTAGATATTTCTTTTTTACTCTTGTATTTGGTTTTTAACCCTTCTTTTCTCAATTTATATATATGTTTTTCCTACTGAACGATGCTAATACTGTTAATAGGAAGCTGGGCCTCACCAGTTTTGTTTCTACAAGTAAGAAATATCCATGTGAATTACGTGGGGCAATTCACAGTTTCCTGGAGGTTTGTGGGCTAATTTATTTCTCGCTCTCTCTCTCTCTTGTGCTCTCTATCTGCGCGCGTGTGTTGTGTCTGTTTGTTTCTCTCTATTGCTCTCACTTCCAAATTAGTAGTATGTTCTCAATCTTCTTGTGTTCCTTCCTTTTAGGATTCTAAACTTGAATCCAAGAAAAGGGGTTCGGTATATGAGATCCTGTCCAGGATGTTAGATGGGAATATGAATTTGTCACATGAGATTCCCTTGTTCAAAAATTTGGTTTGCACTGGAACATCCAAAGGTATTGTCTGTTGGTTCATCAAACACACAATTTTTGTTGATTAATTTTATTCTTACTTCTTGTCGCATACTTTGCTAACTACATTTTATGAATGTTATGCTTTTATTATAATTTTAATATGTGGCACAGACTGAGGTTCTACACTTGTTGGTTTGGATTCATATGTTATTCTGAAAGAAAACTAAGACTGCCCATTCAGAGGTGACATTGTTGTCTTCTCATTTGTTATTGTAAAAAAACAATGTCTGGTGACCTTTCAATTTTGTTATGCCATGTCTTACAGGTTCACTTTAGCAGTTTGCTTCACTATGTTCGGTTGATTATTTAATGGTTCTACTATTAAAAGGAAATGTTTCATTACTCACTCGTTGTTTGTTTGTTTTTCTTTTTTTCCTTTAAAATTGCCTGTTCCTTTTTGGTTGGTATAAATCCGTTCCACATCTTCCTGAGGTCAATTTTTGGTGCTCTCTCTCTCTCTCTCTCTCTCTCTCAAAGAAAGAACCGTAGATATATATAACTCTAGCATTTACAACAGAATACATTTCAAGCCATGTGGAAGGTTTAGAAATCCTAAACCTTTCAAGGCATAATCCAAGACTCATGTAACAAGAAAACACTTGATAGAACAGCATTCAGACCTTTAAAACCTGAAGAGAGAATGCATTGCCAAAAACAAGAGCCAGAACTCCAGAGATGATGCACACCTAGATGAGAAACTGTGACTACTCGCCGGCTGGATGAACTTTGGCTCGAGACTTGCGTGCAGAAGCAGCAAGGGCAGTTCACCTCTTTCAACTGGCAATTTACTGGTCATGCTTACTTGATTCAATTTGAAGTTTTGTTTTCCAAATTACTTTATTGCCGCGGAAGTTTCCTGCCAGTCACTTGTAGAGAGCCAATTAATGTGTGAAATGAATGGCCATGCTATTGTATATTGTTTAAACCCATATTTCTTGTTCTCGAAATTCCAGCTTACTGTTGCAATTATCTTTGGCTGGTTACTGCATGCTTGTGTCCATTTCTCTATTTTTAGTTGCTAAGTACCAGTAATTGGT